ATTATCTTCTGGTGTCCTCTGGTTTTGTTAAGAAATCTATGTCAGTCTGACTCCTTAAAGTTTTCTTTTCTGAAAGTGTTTAAGATTTTTCTCTTTATGTTTTGAGTTTTGAAATTTTATAATGCTGGGTCGAGGTGTAGTTGCTTTTCATGCACCCTCTGTTTTTATACTGAATGATTAGCTTTGCATTCTTAGCTTTAATTGTAATATATTGGGTTTCCTTTAGCTTCACTTTAAAGTTTTTGTATGAGACCTGAAATTAGCATGCCCGCATACCCTGCTGGGTTGAAGGAGGAGGTAGGCCAGATGATGAGGCTGGAACTTGTGGACAGGCCCCTGCAGCTTGTAGGAGTTTGTCCTTTAAATAGTGGGCCTCAACTTTGGTTGCATGTTAGAAGTGCCTGCGAAGCTTTGGGAGCCCTGATGCCTAAGCCCGAGTCCCACCCTAAGATATTCCTGAGTCATTGGTTTGGGGGCCGCCGCTGCACTGAGACTGTGGACGCTTCCTAAGAGATGCTGGGTGCATCCACAACTGAGGACCACTGCTTCAAAATAACCTCAGGAGTGGTGTGGCGTCAGCCCCACTCCCTCGTGGGCTTGGTCCTCAGGGAATCTTATAGCTCTTGTGCTATTTCAGGGGTGGGCAGGGTGGAGGTTGGGGACCCAGAGCCAGGGCTGTGTTGGCTCTGCTCTGAGTCCTGTTCAGACTGGCGTGTGACTCTCCTGTCAGGGTGGGCAGGTGGGGGTCAGGGTGGAGGGTAGGGTTTATGCTTCAGCAAGGCTCTCCAGAGAGGTGTGAGTAGGAGAGACGTCCACTCTTCCCAGACACTTCTTGCCCTCAAAGTCCTTTCATCCTGTTTCCTCTCTCTGCTCTTTTCTGCCAGTTTTGGTGGTCAGGTGGTTCGCTTCCGATTCTCAAGAGTGTGCCCCCAGCATGACCTCACAGAGTTTGCGCCTGACCCTGGAGGACTTGCTGGTTTGCTCAGAGTTCGCAGAGGACATCTGAGCCCAGGCTGTCTCCTCCTGAATTCCTGAGGGTCCGCCCTCGCACAGGGCTAACCTTTCTCAACACTGGCTCTCCACAAAGCAGTGTGCCACTCCATGGGGGCGGCTCAGACGCCCGTCCTCCCAGCACCCTGCCGTCACCTTTGGCAGCTTCCTGCCAACACTGAGGTCTGTGTTCCTGGGCCAAGGAGAGGGAGGGTGTTGGTGGACCTGAGTTAAGTAGTTGAGTTCACGGAATGAAACAGAGACAGAGAGTGCCCCAGCCCCACACCACATCCCTCACAAACAGCACCCCATATCCTACTTAGGAGAGCAGGAAAGTGTAGACGTATTTTAGAAAAAATTTAAAACCAGAAATAGTTGTTAAAATTGGTCATTTTAAAAGAAAACTTTTTCCTAAGTTTATATTGGAAGACCACACTCTTTGGCATTGCCTCTTGGTGGCCCTGCCGCCAGAGGACTGGGGCAGAGGACCGGGCGGCAGGCAGCCAGGCTGCGGCGGGCCCCACCCTCCACCTCTCTGTGCCTTGGTTTCCCTTGCAGGCAGCAGGTGCACGTGCCCACTGCCGAGAAGGCATGGGTGCTAGAGCCACTCAGTTGCTGCCCCATTCTTGGCATCCTGATCTTCACCGTTAACTCATGCATCTGGAAGACACTCCGTTTTTTTACCCCAAATTATTCCTTGTTTTCATTGTTGGAAATAGAAAACTTGAAAGAAATCAGTTGTTGTAGAACATCTATTTCAGCTTGCTTCTGAGATATGTGTAAACAAATTGTGGTTTCTGAAACTAGTTTTAATGTCTTTTTAAAATATTCTTTAATTAAGATGTTTTGCATCTTCCGTAGTTGATAAAGGAAGTCGAGGGCATTTTGGTGATGGTGTGTCTTTACTTGTCTAATCTCCACTTTATTTTTTTTTAAAGATTTTATTTACTTATTTGACAGAGAGAGAGACACAGCGAGAGAGGGAACACAAGCAGGGGGAGTGGGAGAGGGAGAAGCAGGCTTCCTGCCGAGCAGGGAGCCCGACGCGGGGCTCGATCCCAGGACCCCGGGATCATGACCTGAGCCGAAGGCAGACGCCCAACGACTGAGCCACCCAGGCGCGCCTAATCTCCATTTTAAACACATTTTGTTTTTTATAAAATATTTTTATAGATTAGATATAACGAGTCATATCACATTTGTATGTATTTTGTCAATAACAAAAAATCAGTTGTCATAGTGTGAAGAAATGAAGCTGTCGTGCTGTCATTTTGAAGGGGGCAAGGCAAATTCAGGGGGGCCCTGCATTCCAATTATGGAACGGAGTTAATTTGATGACATCTGAAAGAGCGTATTTTCCTACAAAGATATTTTCTGAAATAGAGAAAGTTATGTCGACTATTGGATAACATAAATCCACAGTGTTTCCTTTTTCAGGAGTGCTGAGTTATTTAAATTGGATTAAGATTCATTTCTTATTATTTCATATCATAACAGAGCAAAACATTTCTTAAAAATGCGGTCACTTGCTAAAATGAAAACACAACACAATTCTGTCCTCTTCTCTCCAAAGAGTGAGGATGGCTGCGTTTTTCCTGCTGTGACCATGACAACCGGCTCCGTCACAAAGGGACAGCCTCCCTGGACATCAGGCCCTGGCACAAACATTTGACTTTCTTCAAGGCAGTAATATTAAAGCAAATTCCTTGTCTTTGCCAAACATAGGACTCATTGTGAGGAACTTCCAGCTTCCTTAGTGAGACATGTTTTCCTTCGTTATCCAAATTCTGGTTTGATTTTTCCCCTTCTGAAACCTGACTCTGCTAAGCAGCTTTTTAAACAGAACTCCTGGTAATTTAAGTGTGGTTGTGGACTGTCTCTTCCCGTTTGCGTCTTCCTCGTGCAGCGCTTTGGTTTTGATCCCAGGAGGCCTTTCCTGGGCCTGCCGTGCCCGGTGACAGAGCTTTAGCCACAAGTGTGTCCTTGCAGCCGCGAGACCATCCCTGGGCCCTCGCCTTGCTGCGCTTCCTTCTCCGCCTGTTACACCGGTGGTTCTTGGAGACCTGGGACCGCTCTGCTAACTGGTTTGGGTTGGCTGAGCTCTAGGATTAATGCTAGAGACTGAGCTGCCGCCTTGTGTGAAAACAGCCTGCACAGGGGTACTGCCTTGGGCCGCAGCCTGGGTGACCTGAGCAAGGCCATGTCCCTGCTCCTCTGGCCCAGCAGGACGGGCACTGGGGCTGCGATTTGCTCAGAGCCGGTGCCTGGAGCGGCTGCCTTCTCTCCCTGCCTCAGAGACCCTGTGCTTGGCGTGGAAAACCAGGGAGGGCTCCCGTGTGGCCTGAGGCAACGTATTGCTGTGTCCCTGGCACCAGCGAGACGTTCTTCAGTTTGCCTGAGCTGGAGTACTAGAGGGATTTACTGCTTTAGGTCTGCACACATCTGTTTCAGTTTGTGTGACTTTTCTCCGTTGCCCAAAATCCGTAACTGGCTGGTTAACTCGATTCGGGTGTTGGTAACTGCTTTTCTAGGGAGGTGTATCTTGTGCCCCTTGAGGTCCCCTCGGCCCCTCTAAATACCTCCTGTAGGGCGCCTGGGTGGCTCAGTTGGTTAAGCAACTGCCTTCAGCTCAGGTCATGATCCTGGAGTCCTGGGATCGAGTCCCACGTTGGGCTCCCTGCTCAACGGGGGGTCTGCTTCTCCCTCTGACCTTCTTCTCTCTCATGCTCTCTGTCTCTCATTCTCTCTCTCTCAAATAAATAAGTAAATAAAATCTTTAAATACCTCCTGTAACCTGCCCCGGCCTCAGCACCCGAACTCAGCTGCCTCAGTGCTGATTTCTGCGGCCGCTCCTTACTCAGAAAGCTTACCGGGCCAGGCGTGCCCTCCTGCCTGCCTCCATGGCCTGCTGTTCCCCACACTGCTGGGCGCACTCTGGCATCTGCTCTTTATCAAACCCTAGAGGCCCCAGGCGCCCTCTTGCCCCTTGTCTTCATAAGCCTCCTGGTACTTCTCCAGCACTGTTCATCCCGTGCAGCCAGAGATCATCATTTAACTTTTTCCAACTCAGTTGCAATCTCTTTGAAGGCAAAGTGTTTCTAAAACATTTATTAAAACATAACATCCATACAGAAAAGTGCACTTATCATAAATGCCAGTTCAGTTAATTTTCTCAAACTGAGCACGCCGTGTAACCAGCGCCCCGATGAAGAGCCGACATCACCAACCCTCAGAGGCCACCCCCCGCGTCCCTTCTAGTCCCTGCCCACTTCCCAAGGCAACCCCCTGATTCCAGATGAATTTGCTGCCCTTGAACACCATGTGGACATCACGCACATGTGTGTGCAAACCAGGGTTGTTCATTCTCATCATGGTATCTTCTCAGCTTTTCCGTTCTACGTTGGGGACCATCACATCTTGGTGAACGTGTGGGGGTGTTCTTTGGGGTCTGCACCTAGCAAGGGAGCTGCTGGGTCATAGGGTATGTTCATGTTCAGACGTGATGAACACTGGCAGTGACTGTAATTACCACTGAGGGATGCGTTCAGATAACTGCTCATGGTGTCCAGTTCAGTGAGCTTTTACCAACCGATCACACACGCGTTACCCCCTCCCCAGGTAACCATATCTTGACTTTTATCAGCATTCCTGACGGCATCTACTCAAGCACTTCCATTCAGGGACATTTTGATTTTTTCTTTTTAATATTCCCCCCGGCTTAGCTTAGTGTTATACTCAGTAAATGGTTGCTGAATCTGTTTTCCTCCAGCGAGCAATCCCTCCTTAATACGCTGGTCCCATGTGGCCTCTTTGCGTCTCAGCCCCTAAAGATGGAGCTCTGTTTTCCATTTGCTTCCCTTTCACTCTGTCTAGGGCTGACCTGGTTTTTTTTACCTGGTAGTGTACAGTGTTGTTAGCTCCTTGTAGTACCATTACCCTAAGTTCTAGGAAAGAGAAGACCACTGAAAATTGAATTACAAAAGAGTTTTTGTCTTTCTTTTTTGAAACAGTTGGATATTCTAAAAATCAAGCAATAGCACAAAGCTCAGGATCTTACCTTTGCTTTTTGGATTCGGTAAGTAAATGTTTTATTTAAAGTGTGTGTATACGTAGGGGTTGAATAATTAAATGACCTGACATTTTAGTGTGGTTCTTGAAAATCATTATTCTAATATATAATGATCAGACTTAAAAGTTAAGGTTCATGGGCTCTTGCTGTTAAATTGCTATAGCACTGAATGAGTTAATTTTTAATAAATAGAATTATATAAAAATGCAGAATTGCACAACAGAATCACATAAACTGGGAAGACATGGACAAACAGTTGATGAACAGCCTTAGATAAGATATAATGCACACAAGTGATAAGAAAGCACAGAAAAGGATTGGTGGTGGGTCTGTCGGGAAGGACGGAAGGACAGGCGTAGGGGGCCAGAACAGCCGACTGCAGATGGGCTTTAACATACCTTTTGGTCACTTGTGGCCAAGGAAACAAAAGTTACATTAGTGAGATACGAGTTTTTAAAAACCACATTAACAGGGTTTTCTGAAGTGCAGATAGTCCATATTTGGAAAGTGTGAATTGGGGGTGCTCAGTGGCAAAGTTAAGCATTTTGTATCAAGAACTTAAAAAATGCTCATGCCGTCGACTCTAGACTTCATTTGCAGGGATCTCAGAAATTCTGAAAACGATTTATGTGCGGTCGGTATATGGGAATTACTATGTTTATAAAGCATCTTCAGTCACGTGACGAAGGATTATGACAGGTGAACAAGAAGCATAATTGCATAGATAGCGTGTGTTCACCCGTGGATTTTCTTGTTACTTACTTCATTTTTTTTTTAACGATTTTTATTTATTTTTTGAGAGAGAGCAAGAGTACAAGCAGGAGGAGGTGCAGGCAGAGGGAGAAGCAGGCTTCCCACCGAGCAGGGAGCCTGATGCGGGGCTCGGTCCCAGGATGCCAGGACCATGACCTGAGCCGAAGGCAGTCGCTCAACGACTGAGCCCCCCAGGCACCCCTTATTCCTAACTTTAAAACACACTTTAAGAATGTCTGTCTGTCTGTGGTCTCCCTTCGGGCTCCTCTGGGTCTGGGAATGCAGGGCACCCACCTCTTCTGGGCATTCCTTGGGTAGCTGCTGTTGGTGTTCGCGAGGTTGGCCGTGGCTCAGAGTTTCTGCTTGTGCTGAATTCACCTACGAACCTTGTCATCTCGTATAGGCTTAGCCTTTTCCTTGATTGCCAGGACCTTCTGTACAAGGTCTGGGTCCACGGCGAGGTTTGAGGAGATTGTGTGCCGATGTGAGCAAGCGGCGAAAAATGGCCTCTCAGACGGCCCTGCTCTTGGGACAAACCCTGGGGCTGCAGTGCCTGTCCTGCTCCTTCGGTGTCTCCAGTCTCTTTTTCTGCCTTTTTCTTAGATAAAACTCCCTCTTGTTCCCTCATCTTGCAGGCCTGGCTCCGGGGCCTGTTTTCACTCTCAGATGGTCCATCCAGCAGTTTCCTAAGCAAAGACAGTTTTTCCACCAAAGACAGCTACACCCACCACATAGCAAAGTGTGCTTCTTACGGCCTTTGGGTGCAGGGAGGTGGCGATTTTCTGTTGCTCCTTTAGGATTGCTCTTTCTGAAATACTCAGGAAGCTCCCAGCGGCGGGACTAGGAAAAGGAGAGAGGAGGGCTAAAGACACCCTCTCCTCTCCGGTATCCTCCAAGGCTTTCTCTGTGTTCGCTGGAGAGCAAGAAAGAAAATGAAGGAAGGCCAAGTTGGACCGGGTGGAGCCCGGTTTAGAACGGTGAGAACCGCGGACCAGGGAGGCTCCTGATAAAGCTACTGATGGATGTCAGCACAGCCACCACCGGGCTGGCGGAGGGCAGGGTGGACGACCAGGTCCTTTCAGTGGCGGGCAGGGACAGAAGGAGCAGGTCAGACACCTGGCCTGGTCAGTCCCAGAAACTGTGGGGAGGGAGGTGGCGGGGGAGCGGTCAGAGCCGCAAGGGCCAGGAGAGGAAGGCTGCCAGATTGCACATCACCGTGTCTCCGTCCTGGGCATGGGCATCAGAGAAGGATGGTGTTGCCGAAGTCTGACCAAGGAAGACTTGCCCCCACTCTAGAAATGTGAATTGTTCTTGGGGTTTAGGTGAAATAAGTCAGGTAAATTTTGGTGAGCTTTGCCCTGGGATTGGCACGACCGCCTTGCTGTACTAACCAGGGCAGGGGTGGCACAGTCCATCGCCTTCCCGGTGGCTGACGGGCGTGTCTGCCTGCGAGGGAGCTGGGGGCATAGATGGGCAGGTGCATCTGGTTCATTTAGGACCTGGTTGTTCCCGGCCATGGGTGGGGTAAGATAAGCAAACAAAAAAGTCTGGCTTTGAAGAAGGTAGCCTTTAATACGTGCATCGTGACAGGGACTTGAATTCCTGGGCCCTTGAGGTGAGCAGATGCGGCGTCTGTGGAAAGGAGAGCTTAGAACTGGGCTTCATCCAGGGGCCCTGCTTTTCTGAGAGCGTCCCTTCCGAGGGGACCCCCACCACTTGCCACCACAGCAGAGAACCTCTGCCTGGCCCGCTTCCCCTGGGCCCCTGGCAGCATGGTCTCTGCATCAGGAGCCTGTGAGTCAGCACGAAGCTGTGTGTCCTGCCACAGTGCCTGGCAGGGGCTGCAGGCCCGAGGGTTCCCGAGGGGACCGCCCGGGAGGGAGACTGGGCCCGCGCCCCGCACGGGACGCCCGAGGGGACTGCCAGGAGGATGCCCCATCTTCCCGGAGGTGGGTTGGCGCCCTCAGTGAAGGACAGACAGGCCGTGCATCTGTGCTGCCCTTGGGTGTGGGGCTGCGCCCGTGTCTGACCACGCCTGCGTGCCTCTTCTCTATGCACCTTTGTTTTATTTGTGTCGTTTCTGATCTTGGTGGGTTTGGTTCACTTCTAATGCTCACTCATTACTTCTCAGCCTTTCTTTGTACTTTCTCGCGTAAGGTTTAGGACGATGCCTTCTCTTCTGGGGACCATGTGGGTGCCCCCAAGTCCTGAATATAGTGACTCAGGTATTGTCACCTTCGTAGCTCCCAACCTGATTTCTTCATCTTTAAATGTAGACCTCGGGATCTCGGGGCAGAGAACTGAGTCCGTCACGAGTCTCGGTTCAGGACGCTCACGCCTGTTTTCGAGCGGGGCCTGTTGGTCTGCTGTACCCGCGGCTTGGCAGAGGTACTGGTCTACGTGCCCGTGAACCTGCCGTGCAGGACTGGAGCCGGCCCGGCCCTCTGACCGCGTCCCCCAGCACGCCTGCTGCACGCCACGTTATGACCCTGCTGAACTCTGCTATTCGCACTGAGCCGAAGAAGTCAGTTAAAAATTTCAGTGTTTTTATCTTTATGCAAAGAGTATCAGGCTATGTAATATTTTAAAACTCTCGTTGTTAAGATCCATCAATATTGTTGTTACGTATCTTTTGTAGATCAGTTTTTAAAAACGGAGGTAAAATTTATATATAGTGAAATGCACGATTTCAGTGTGAAAATTATATACAAAGTGAACAATTTGGTGAGTTTTGACAGCTGTGTGCGCCCGTCAAAACCCCGGTCAAGATACGGAGCGTTTCTGTTGCTCAGAACGTCCACTGTGCTTCTGCTGGACGGCACTCACAGGTCTCAGATCTGCAGGTGACGTCTTACAGGACGCCCTCTTGTGTGCAGCTTTTTGCTCCACGGTTCTCTGTGATATTTTGTGTGTCGATGGCTTATTCTTTTTTTATTATCTGTTGTGTGAATATGCCACGATTTGTTTTACGCTGTACTGTTTATTGACATTTGGGCAGTTTCCTGTCTGGGTTATTTTAGTGAAAGCACCACAAACATTCTTATGGAAGTCCTTTTGTGGATGTGTATTTCCATTTCTCTTGGGAAAATACCCAGGGGTGGAGTTGACTGATCACAGGGTAAAGGTACGCTTCCCTGCCAACCACAGATGTTGCTCTTGTGTCCGGGGCGGGGGGGCTGCTCCACCTTCCCACCCCTCGGACACTGTTGGTCTCAGTCTTAACTATTCAACAGGTGCAGAGCGTGTCTTGTTGCAGCTTTGGTTTGCATTTCTCTGGTGCCTGGTGGTGATGTGCACCTTTCACGGGTTTAATGGCCATTCGTTTCTTCTGTGAAATGTCTGTTCAGATCTTTTGCCTGTTTTTTTTCAGTTGGGCTGTTCGTCTTGTTATTAGAAGACGAGTTATGCTAGTTCTATATTTTGGATGCAAGTCTGTTGTCAGATATTGTGAATACTTTCTCCCATCTGTGACTTGCCTTCATATTTAATGTCTTTTGATGAACAGAAGTTCTAAATTTTGCTGAACTCCAGTGTATTTTTTTCTTTTGTAGTTAATTTGTTTTTCTAAGAAATTTCTGCTTGCCCCAAAGGAGAAGCGATTCTCTTATATTTTCTTCTAGTAGCTTATGGTTTTTATTTTGTATTTAGCTCATTATCCATCTCGTATTAATGTCCGTATGAAGCAGGACCCAGGGCTAATTGGTCACAGCGCCCTTTGTTGACGACACTGTCTTTTCTTTGCTGAGTTGCCTGATGCCCCTGCTGAAAGTCAGTCGGCATGCCAGCATCCATCCTGCTGCTCTGCGGTCTGTGGTGTGCATTTGGCCCGCCACGCAGCAGGGCACGGGCAGATAGACCGCGTGCTCACGCACCCCCCCGCCGGGCGCCCAGCTGCTTCCAGCTCTTGCATGAATGACGCTGTTGCGTTGCACCGTGTCGCGGAAGCCAGAGCTCCTGTTGGGTGGGATGCTGGCCCCAGGGGTGCGTGACCATCTGACCGAGGGACACCGCGCTGCTCTCACGCGGCTGCAGCCCTCGGAGCCCGGGCCGTGGGGTCCATAGCCTCCCAACACTTAGCACCATCAGCCTCTTAATTTTTGCCGGTGCCTCGCTGTGTTTCCATCTGTGCTTCCCGGTTGTAAATTGTGGTGAGCACCAGCTCACCTTTTTGCCCACTTTTCTTTTTCAAACTTAGAGAAAAGTACAGAGAACTCGGCTTTGCGGTCAGCATTGCATCTGTCACCTCGAGCCTT